GTGGAGTTCGACGGTGGCGCAGTTCTTGCCTCCGGAACTGCGATGGTCAGTTTTCCGTTTGGGCAGGTGGTGCACGCCGAAGCATTGGTGAAGGCGAACGTCGGCGCGGGGAAGGCGATCGGCGTGGGTTGAAGGCGCGGCGGCTCGGCGGAGAAGTGTCCGAAGCTGCATGGAACGGCAGCGTCTGTGGTGGTTCTGTGGGGGCGTAGCCGTAGGTGCCATCAATAATGCCTGAGTGAGGGACGCGCCGGCGACAGAACCGCTCAACATGGCCAGGCTGACGACAGTAATAACAGATAGGTCTGTTATCCGATGTACGCCAAGGGTTGTTGGGAAGCGTTGAAGGACGGCGGTAAATGGGAACATGCGAGCCTGCCGGTACGTGTGTTGCGTAGAAGGCGTTCGCTTGGTGGGCAGGGTCGACGACGTTTGACGGCGCATGTACCTGCCTTCGCGCGACGTCAGCGTAAGTCAGGGGAGCGGACACAGGTGGTGGCTGGTACGTGGGGGGAAGTGCCTCGCAGACTTGCTCTTCGATGGTTTGGCGCAGTGACGAGGTCAGCCCATGCGTATTGCTGGGAAGCAAGGGGGCAAGGGACAACTGGCGTGCCACTTCCTCTCGGATAAATTGCTGGATTTGCGGGGTCAATACAGTCTGTTCTGGAGATATTGCACCAACGGTCAATGCTGGCGTGCTGGTCATGTCGAAAGTAGGCCGTCGCGTTGAAATGCGCTGTTTTCGCAACTCATCGAAACTTTGGCAGTGTTGGATGACTTCCGAAACTGTTTGCGGGTCTTTAGCCACCAGCATGTGGAAGGCATCGTCCTCGATGCCCTTCATAATGTGTTTTACCTTGGCGGTTTCCGACATGTCAGGATCAAAGCGACGGCAGAGGCCTACGACGTCCTCAATGTAGGACGTGAAACCCTCTCCCGACAGTTGGGCGCGATCCCGCAAGCGCTGTTCTGCACGGAGCTTGCGCACTGTCGGTCGGCCAAACACGTCCGCGAAGGTGGTCTTGAAAGTGGCCCAGTCGGTAAGCTCGGCTTCGTGGTTGTTGAGCCAGAGCTCTGCTACTCCTCTGAGGTAAAAGTGGACGCGGCCCAGTTTGTCGTTTTCGTCCCACCTGTTGTTGACGCTTACTCGTTCGAACGAAGAGAGCCAGTCCTCGACGTCCTGCTCATCGGTGCCGTTGAAGATGTCTGGATCTCGCTCTCTCGGGACGCCGGGACAGTGGACAGGTGGAGATGTAGGAGCCGTCTGCTGTGCAGCGTCGATGGACATTGTTGATGGCGAAGGTAGAGTTCGGTTGCGGAGTTCCAGGATGGAAAAAGGTACCCAGCACTCTCCACCACTTGATAGTACACCTTTAGTGGTGAGCAGAAGAGACGTTTACTTTGTGGAAAACGTAGCGGTAGAACCGACCAGCTGTCAAGCGGAGCGAGCGCGAGCAGCAACAACACTCTTCCTTCTCTTCTTCAGCTGGCGTTCCGGCCTGTGCCAAATATCAATGCTACAATATATATATATATATATATATATATATTTATATATATATATATATATATACTATTGGTCAGCTGCCAGCTCGTAATAGGTTCACGTGCTACGTGACGCCACACAGGCTCTTGAAGAGGTGTGCTACATTCGCCGTTATGGCTCCCTCTTCAACGTTTATATTCACATATGTACACAATGAAGTGGCTGGGAGGGTAGCCGCCATGGTAGCTCAGTGGAGAGCATCGAACGAATTATTCGAAGGTCGCAGGTTTGGTTTCTGCCCATGGCAAGTTACCTTTTCACCCACTTTTTTTCTTCACATTTACATTACGATTCGGTTTAATTACTTCCCCTACACTTTCTTTGGTGTTATTGTCTGTTAGATCCCATTAATATTGAGTCAAAACACGGAAAAGTGATCTAATTGTACACTTCTTTCCATTATTTATTTATTTATTTATTCATTTATTCCTCGATAAAACTCTAGGGGACGACTTTGAAAATGCTGTTGTGTTTATGGTGTGACTTTTCAAAGAACGCCGTTTAGTTTTCCTCGGGTGGAGGAATAGGTGATTTCGCAGCAGTTAAGCTCCAAAGTTGCCTGCAGCGATGTAGTTTAGCACGAATATTTTAGGTGGTGGTTGTGGCGAATGACCCTTACTGTTTCGGCATGATCGCCAGTCTTTTCGGAAACGCTTCTCCTTATCACACCGCAGTTTAGAAAACAGCGCTGTTCTTCGGCGCTGTTCTGCGACGAAAGCAGCTCTGCTTAGCAGTGCTGTTTCGCAGCGTTGTCACTTGAAAGATCTTTGATGTTCTCCAGCCCGCAATACATAAAGCCGCGTGGTGAGTATCTCGGACAACAGAAGCAATTCTATCAGTACGAAACTTGTGCTGTGCAGGCAGGTCTTCAATGAAAACGACAGGAGAAATGTCGAACGTCTGGGTGTATACTGGAGGCATCTGTTGACAAGGTGAAAACGCTCTCATATTCAATCACTGAATCATTTAAAGCGTGCAGATCGTCGTTCGTTTGGTCAGAAATAAACATGATGGAATCCATGGTATTGTACCAGGAAATTCTGCGCATTTGCCGGTGAGCTGCAGTTTGCAGTGACATACCTGACGTGTGGTGGCTCCAGAGATCTGTCCTCGTTGGCGGTTGAGTTGGAGTCACTGGGGCCGCAAAGATTCTGGTCGCAACCGGCAATCCAGGCTGCATTCCAATCACCCCAAGACTGCGGCCTCGCCCCTTTGTACTGATGCCACTCCGAGGCACATTCTCGAAAGTTACCAAGCGTCACAAACCATTTCTACAGCTCTGCAGTTCTGCAGCTGTACACTTCTGTAATCGTTCGCTTGAACTGTGGCCTCATTGTGGTATCCAGCGTGTTACGCTCATCTGTGCATCGTTGTCAATTTCTTCGTTTTAGGGGCGAAGCTCCTTATAGTGGCACTCGTTCATCCCTCGTAGCCGTAGTAGTAGTGAGTAATCTGTATTACATTTTGACGTCCAAGGTGGTTTCGGTGAGAGATTTCTTCTGTGCTTTATTAAACAATAAAAGATAATGCTCAATGTACATGCCAATGCTGCTAAGGGGGAATGAGAGACAGGAGAATTAGGCTTTTAGTTAACGCGCGCGCTGAGAGTTTTTTATTGTTCAACAACGCACACAAGACAAAAAAGGGTTGCTTCGTTATACTCGCTGGGCGTAACCTCCTAGGCTTTAGAAAGGTTTAGCGAGCGTTCGGCCGCAGTGCCATGAATACAGTGAACTAGTATATACCATATACAGTGAACTAGTATATACCATGAACTCGAAGTGGCTAAAGGTGGGAAGTAGACACGAAGCGCAAGCCGTAAGAAAGTGTGCGTGTGCCACTTCTCGTTCAGTCCTTGGAATGTCCGCTGGATGGCGCTGCTTCTATATGAGGAATATATGATGAAAAGATGCGAGATTGTGGTACTTGGAGTGTTGAATCAGTGGACGAACGGACACACTGACAGATGCATGACGGACGCACCGATGGCTGCACGGACAGATGGACGCATAGACGGACGCAAGAGCAGATGCATGGACGAGAGCAGGGACGGACGCACAGATGAACGTGCGGCCGCATGAACAGACGCACGCATGGATGGACGGAAGAAAGAACGAATGGACGGACGGATGCTTCGCCCCACTATCCATCATTCACTCCGTGGATATGCTGCCATATTTTTTTTTTCATTCAGTTTCAGCAGGTCAAAATTTTTACTCAAAGCATTTTTTTATCTCAAAGCTGTGATGGCTTCTTTCCTTCAAGAAATTCAATTTTTCTGTTGACATACTCACCTAACTCGAATAATTGGAAACATAATAATAAAAATACTTATTTTGTCTACCAAATGCCGTTTTTACTCATTTTAGGATCCCTGCTTCTGCAGGCAAGCACAAGTTGGGATGACAGCGAGAAAATGATAAGTATTCTTCCTTTTTTCTATACCTTTAGGTAAGGTTCTACTGCACATCGGTTAGAGAAACGCTAACGTAAACAGCTTTTGACTATGAGCGCTTTGTCACGGCTTGGACTCTAAACACCCACTGAGTGCGATGTACTTATGTGTTGAGGCCTGGCGTGATTGTACTGTCATTCCACGCAACACTTTATGCATTCAAAAAAGCTCTCTAATTACATATTATTTATAATTTTTTTTCCAAAGCAACGTCAAGCGTTTACCTGACTGTTTGTTAGAACGCCAGCTGCTTGCTAAGTAAAAAGCTTGGGCCCAATGCGCACTCGAAATACTTGTTTATTATTCATTCATTTATAGTTATATTGCGATTTCACTGATGAGCAACGTTACCTTTTTTTTTGCTCACGAGCAACAATACCGATACCGACACCAGCATTGCAGCGACAAAAGCTCTTTAACGCTATTGTGTTAATATCTGAAGTGCAGTATTTTGACTGCGCAATTGAAGGCTGATGTAAGAAGAGCCATATGTGTTGCACTTGTAATAGACGAGTACTAATGTTGCAGTTAGGCATATTTGTAATATAGCAAGTGAACTGTGAAAATTTCGCTTAACATCGATTTCCTACAATGCTTCTATCTACAGAAGACCTGCCACCGCCGAGGTTAAATTTGTAAAATATACGTAGCACTAAATGAACAATAGTATTACAATTATTTCGCCTCGAGATAAACCAGCACTATATTTCAATAAAAAATTCAAATGTAACGTGGAAGTAACGACAACCTTCAATTTTTAAAATGTACCTGTTCCGAGTTTCTTTTACATATGGGCAACTTGTAACGGGAACTCGTTTCGAAATTGGGAAGGAACGAAGAACGAAAATTCGTTGCTGTTTTAGAGGAACGCGTACAACACTGTGGTTATGTAGGGTTCAGTGATGTCTTGATTCTGTAGTGCCTGTATTACTGGTGAAGTTTCGACTGAGTCAAACGCCTTCCAGTAACCCATGAAGGCTATATAAACAGAGTTTGGTTGTATTCCGCGCATTCTTTTATTACCAGATTTTTTGTGTGATAATGGTCTATTTTAGCGTAGCCTGTATGAAATCCTGTTTGGTGTTTTCTTTAATTGAACTCTAATGTCACCCCAATTGTACTAGCTAACATTTTGATGAATGGTTTGCTTAGAACTCGTAGTAAGATGATCGCTCTGTAACTTTTCAAGTATTTCACGTCCTATCTCTAATGAATTAATTTGATGTTGCCTTTATTTCAAGATAATGGTACTCTATCCGTCCAGAGACACTTTTCATATAAAGTGTGTAGTTTTTTGTAGCACAATTTTTCCGCCATCTTTTAGCAGATCTGTTGGTACCTTACTTTCGCCAGTGGCCTTGCCTCTTCGCATTCCTTTTAGGGCTTTCCTTACTGCTCCTCTCGTTACTGGTGGAATGTCGAGTTCTTCTGGGCTTTTATTGCATCTTACGATATCTACTGGTTGTTTCGCCTTTTGTAGAGCTCTTTAAAGAACTCCTCCGCCACTTTAACTTTCCTATCCTAATGAGTTTTGACATTCTTTTTTTTTTTGTCTCTCAAAGCATACATCCAACTTCTGCTTATGCACAAGTTGGCCTTCGCAGCATTTAGACTCCTGCCGCTTTTTGCAGCCTGCTTAACTCTCTTCATGTTATATAGATCAGCAACTAGTCTCAAGAGTCTGGTAACGTGCAAAACGCATTATGCAGAGAACAATAATGGTTAAAAGGCATTAGCTCAATACTGGTATTGTTAATTCTTATCTTGGTGGTGCTGTCTAAAGACATCCTATAACACATGAAGTCGCATGAAGTAGGCCAAAGCTATGAACTAGGTCATAATCTACTCACAGCGTATTTATCTGTCATACCTCCAAGAAAAAAAATTGTTTATAGTTTTAGGTACTAAATTTAATTGAAGAGTAGTTTTCTACCAAACTACCAATAAGTAGTTTTCTGGTAATAACGGTTACGTTTTAGGTAATCTTCCAAAGCAGAACGGGAACTCAGCTTACAGAAGCCCAATTTGCAAATAAATGTGATCAACCTTGAGACGTACTCGCTACTTGAATTTGATGACCAAAAAACTGAAGTATGTACCTCCAATAGGCCGAAATATTCACAATTTGCTCATTCTAAACATTGAGTTGTAACTCAACCTACCGCAGTATCAATACTTTCTCCCACATTGCTGTGAAATACAATATTTACTTCGATGATAACTGGGAAGCTTTGTATGACCTGGGGCCTAGCGAAACTGTACTATTTTCATTTTTATCTGGGTAAACAAGATGACGCGCTAGTGAATATGATCCTTCAGAAACGTGGTTGTGACCAAGGTTCCCCGTCGTATGTCCATCGTACGACATTATATTTCTTGTAAGATGATCATCAAGTCACGTGGAATATGTTTCTATCAAAATGAAGATTAGGAGAGTTATCTTCATTTACTCTCGTGAGCCATAACCTCTTGTTTTTATTTCTGAAAAAGAAAGCAATACACGTAAATATAGTTGCTGAATTTATCAAATATGTGAAGAATTGGCAACAACGTCTGCATAAAACGTGGGTCTGCAAGAAGTGAAGCAAAAATAGCTTAGCAATTAAATTCAACCTACAGGTGGCAGTGTTTAGAATTTATATAGTAGAAAAAGAGTTGAAAATACCACCGTTCTAATTCAAATAGGACCCGTCCACGTCCCGCAGAGATGAAATATTATTTGTCGGTTTGTAAAGCTGTTTCACCAAATGACATATGTATACTACAACAAAGTTTTCAAGGTACTGCTAAGATAGTCATATATAATCAAATGAATTGATCGTACTGATTTCAATTCAATTTTAAACTAAATGAAAGCATGTGTTTGGTATTCGATGTGTCAGTGTATTGTCAAAATAGGTGTGAAAAGCATACTGATAAGATGAAGTGCTAGGGATGTTGAAAATTTTAAATCCGAAGCATTTTTCAGCAAGGTTCGGCTACTTTGATCATATCTATCTATCTATCTATCTATCTATCTATCTATCTATCTATCTATCTATCTATCTATCTATCTATCTATCTATCTATCTATCTATCTATCTATCTGTCTATCTATCTATCCGTTTACATTTGGGGGCTCTCAAGATCACCCCCTTAACTTGGCGTGAAGTAATATTAGCTTGGGAGTGTAAGACGGGTTGTCGAATATGTCAAGACTTGAATAATATCACAATCCCGTCGCGTATGTCGTCCAACACTTCCCGTGAGACAGTGGCACATACTCACAGGCGTTTATGTGCACCTGAAATGCAGGTATGTGCCACAGGTGGTTGACCCTTAGTATCTACCCAGAAACGACGAGAACACACATGAGCACTTTTAACGCGTGAGCGTTAAGCTATGCCCGACATCGTTGACCCAAAGAAGGCATAGAATAAATTTCAGGGTTCCAGTTTGAATAGAACCAAATAATTTGGCGTGGCAATGAACCAATCGACCGCAAAGATACGCCAGGTCTCCGAACTACCTTTCAAATAGACGCTAATCTTCGTGAAACGTCATTAGTGGTTGCAGTGCTGCCTACCCAATTTTATAATCCATACATAAGTACTCCTTTGAAACAGCAGTCACGTCGGTTTAACGTGAACTCTGGTTAGGTGCAATGCGCAGAAATTGCTTTATGTAGCAGTGCTCAGGACTAGCGTCTTTGCGAGCATCAGCACTTCATATCAGCTTCTGGTGTTGGTAATAGGCATGTTCCAGTTAGCATCGTTTGCACGTCGGCTGGTTATGTCAGCATTTGCAACTCTTTAAAATGTGTCTGTGCGTGCAACATTGGTACATATATTTAGCGTCATTTATTTATGGGTCGCTCAATAGAAAAATTAAAACACGGTCACCAAGCCTCCACATGCTTCGCATAACCTCGATTCCCAGGTACGCTGGTTCTTGCAATTTTTTTCTTTGTGTATACATGCGCTTCTGTTAACGTGCTCGTGTTTTTCAATTTATTGAAAGCACGCAAAAAAACTTATGGTTATTCTATGAAGCTAAATCACCCAAACGGTACCTAATGTCCCCTTACATCGCCCCGCCACGGTGGTCTAGAGGCTAAGGTACTCGGCTGCTGACCCGCAGGTCGCAGGATCGAATCTCGGCTGGGGCAGCTGCATTTCCGATGGATGCGGAAATGCTGTAGGCCTGCGTGCTCAGATTCGGGCGCACGTTGAAAAACCCCGGGTGGTCGAAATTTCTGGAACCCTCCTCTACGGCATCTTTGATAATCTTATGGTGGTTTTGGGATGTTAAACCCCATTGATCAATAAATAATCAAAAACTGGAAATTGTTTGGTGACCATGTCATGACCCCTTTAACAAGTAGCTCCGCTTTTCACTTCCGAAAGCCATGGCTTTGTTTATCTCTTTTTAAAAAAGCTTCATTTTTCCTAAGCGCATGCCCAGCTGCTTTTGGAGCCTTCCTCTATGGCGTCTCTCATAATCATATGAAGGGTTAGGGCGTTAAACCTCACATATCAAAGTTTCTTAACATTCCTAAGCATCAGATACAGTATGTAAGAGCATAACCTTATCATTAATACTATATGTTATAAAGCATTTATCCACCTTGCAGTTGACTCAGTTTTATCTGTGTTGTGGATTTGGATGCACTTTCAAAATAAACTGTCACATCTGAGGATCAGATTATTGTCGTACACATTTATAGTTTATCTTAAAAACAGTTTTATAAGTACTGATTGCAAGAAAGCTTGGGTACTATGCTAGGACAACACCTGGTGCAAGAAGCTGTTAGAAAGTTTGGAAGATGTGACATGTATATTGTTGATTTGATGGATTTGATTCATATGTGGGGTTTAACGTGCTAAAACCACCATATGATTATGAGAGCCGCCGTAGTAGAAGACTGCGGAACTTTCGCGCTCCTGGGGTTCTTTAACGTGTAACCGAATCTGAGCACACGGGCCTACAGCATTTTCGCCTCCATGGAAATTGTTACCACCGCAGCCGGGATTCGATCCCGTGACTTGCCCGTCAGCAGCCAAAACCTTAGCCACTAGACCACCGCGGCGGGGCAGATGTATAGTGCTGAACTCCAATAATATTTCGTTGTTGTGCATGTTACTATCCGTGCTGTAAAGCCCCTGAGGTCAGCTTCAACGTTCCGCAAATGCTGTTTACCAGATAATCGTCTCTGCCGCATTATTTTCGTTTACGGTAGTGATACTGGCCTATCGTAACAAAGTGGTTCAGGGAGAATAATTCACGTTTACTGAAAGCTTGATTGATTGATTGATTGATTGATTGATTGATATGTGGGGTTTACTGTCCCAAAACCACCATATGATTATGAGAGACGCCGTAGTGGAGGGCTCCGGAAGTTTCGACCACCTGGGGTTCTTTAACGTGCACCCTAATCTAAGCACACGGGCCTACAACATTTCCGCCTCCATCGGAAATGCAGCCGCCGGGGCCGGGATTTGATTCCGCGACCTGCGGGTCAGCAGCCGAGTACCTTAGCCACTAGACCACTGCGGCGGGGCTGTTGACTGAAAGCTGAAATTTGTGCTAGTTGCTTTTTTTTGGGGTGAATTGTACACGTACAAAACTGCCTAAACACGTGGAACAAGACAAGGAAAAATGAAACGAGCACTGTCATGTGCCATGCGGGTTGTTTTGTCCATGTTATATGGGTGAATTCATCGAGTGCCACGCTGCGGTGTTCTAGTGGTTAAATTACTCAGCTCCAGGCCAGCAGGTCGCGGTATCAAATCCCGGCTACAGCAGCTGAATTTTCGATGGAGACGATAATTCTGTAGGCCCGTGTGCTCAGATTTGGGTGTATGTTTAGGAACCCCAGGTGGTCGGAATTTCCGGAACCCTGCACTACGGCGTCTCTCATATTATTATGGTGGTTTTGTGACGTTAAACCCCAGATATAAAATTCACGGAGTGAAAAGCGCGCTGCTTGGCTTCAAAAGAAGCATACCAAAACACTTCCTTCTAATTTATCATTATGGCCAACATCACAATGATATGGTTATCTTAGGAACCTAGCATTGCGAGATATGATTTCGTGCGTTGGTGTTCCAGAAGGAGGTTTTTGGTGGCGCAAACTTTTTTCCAACCACTAAGTTTTTATATTTTTGTGAATATACGAAAATTTGCATACAAATGTCTTTCCCTAGAAACAGAAAGCAGTTACGCACTTAGCCCTCTCCTCCCCAATAATATAATGTCTACGCTCTAGCACTGTTGTCATGTTTATTTTTTATTGAAAGAAAATCCTAACTGTTGCGTATGTTGCGTGATAACCATGCATTTACTAATGTACTTTCGAATTTAGTTGGATAGATGCACCTAAATAACATTCCATCAAAGCTATTAAGGTTATCAATATTAATTGGTGAGAACAAGTGCCAACTGCTCGTGTTTAGTATGGTCGTCTTAGAAAAAAAAATAAATTATTCGAGCAATAAAAGGAGTCATCTTTCACTTAACTCAAATGGAGGTAGTAGAAATGTGCTTCCCTTTTTTTGGACCGGCTCATTATCGTTCTCTTCGCGATGAATTATTGTATCGTAATATAGCAAAATGAATGGTTACACCCTACGCACGCTATCATGACGGCAGTGCATACCCCTCGCCCACCTCGGTGGAACAGTGCCTGCGGTGCTGACTCAAAGGTCGGTGGCTCGATCCTGGCTGCGGCTGTCGCATTTCGATTGAGGAAAAAAAGGTAGCGATCCATCTATTGTGCGATGACAGGGCACATTAAACAACACTACATGGTAAAAACTACTGGAGTCCTCCACAAATCTTGCGTCTCATATTGATACGGTGGTTTCAGGACGTAAAAGCCTCAATAACAACTACTAGTTTATCCACTTTTATTACACAGCGTGCGTATCTGCTAGAGTCCTGGAGACGCCTCTCACCATGGCAGCGAGCGCAATAATGCGGTAGCTAGAGCTTACAAAGCGGGCGCCATCAGAAGAGCTGTTTCTCTCAGATGATGCACCACTAGAACCATAAATTACGCATACATGCTACAATAATTCTGACAAAGCCGTATGTACTTTCCACTACCACAAAAACGACTTAACCGAGAGGACCCTCTTGTCTGGTAGCAGCTTAAAACAAATTAATTTTCGAGTCTTCTATATTCTTCCTATCTTCCACCCCAAACAATATCTCTTATACTGCCGCTATGTTAGAGTGAAGCCCATTGTATAATACTACATCTGGTGATGTTCACGACCACCAGGTACCATCCTATTTATTCGCCCTCACATTCCTTTTGGGAGACTGCGCTGGCCAGCCCAGAGCCGCAGGTGCAGCGTCGGCTAATCTATTGGGCACCTCGTGTGGCGTGAGCTAACGGGGCCCTGAACCAAGGGCTCAAACAAACGAGGACCATTCTTTATGTCTGCAGGAATAAAGGTTTCTTTCTCTTTCGAGAATATTTGTTCGCCTCAATGTTCTGAATGATGATGATTGATTGATTGATTGATATGTGGGGTTTAACGTCCGAAAACCACTATATGATTATGAAAGACGCCGTAGTGGAGGGCTCCGGAAATTTAGACCACCTGGGGTTCTTTAACATGCACCCAAATCTGAGCACACGGGCCTACAACATTTCCGCCTCCATCGGAAATGCAGCCGCCGCAGCCGGGATTCGAACCCGCGCCCGGCGGGTCAGCAGCCGAGTACCTTAGCCACTAGACCACCGCGGCAGGGCAATGTTCTGAACGAAGTATTTTGCGAAGGACTACAATGCAGGGCTAATTTTGGTCGATACAACTAATGTGGAAAAAATAATGTTTCTGTACTGCGACTATTTGCTGTAGTATACCAGGAAAATATATTTGGCGTTTTGTGTACGTGATAATCTTTGGAACTTTTAAAATATCGAGACGTTCGGATCCCCTCTTTTAGGAATATTTTTGCGCTGAATCGTTCGAGGAAACGTGAATACCTATAGTGCATGTAGCCTACTGGGCTGCGTCACGCAACAAAGTATTGCAACTATAGTTTCATTTCGCAGATAGTTTAAAATTTATTACATGCGTGTGTATCACATGTGCAGTAGAGTGTATATATGGCTGTATTTAGATGAACACGAATACCTTAGCCCCTCATCATCATCACAGGTGGGCTCTAAATTGTCGCTCACGATTGCATCACTGAGTGTTGAGATCTAACTTGCTACAGTACGCCAGCTGCAATATGCTTCGTAATACATATAAAAATAAAGGAATTCGAAATTCGTAGTAAATGTGAACTAATTAGTGCATCTTCAAAATTCTAAACGTAAATTACAGAAAATATGTTCATACCTTGTGAATTTGTATGTATGTAGGCGTGTGTGCACGTGCTAAAGAAATTAGATCACCTACACCACTAACCATTCACTAAAAATGAGAAGTGAACACGAGGGCTGCAAATATCTATTTAGAGCGGACACGAAATGACAATCGCATAAGGTAGGTCGGGCAAACTGAACATTCCATGGAAAACAGGTGCGTGCTTTTCAAATGAAAAAAGTTGAAATCAGCATACTTTAAATACAAAGAGTTTTCTTTATTGCACGTCTTGGATTTAGTGGCACGGTGTGCGATTGACTATAACTTGAAATTTTGACTCATCTGGCTCATGTTCTGAACAGATTTTTCAGTCATCTTCATGCGCTGTATCAAATGGTTCTGAAAGATGTTTCTTTATAGAAGTATACCTAATCCTGAACACTTCCAAGATGTTTTTTTAGTGATGAGGAGAAAGAAAAAGCACACCGTGTAAACAAGATTTTTACCTATTTTCGTTTCTCTTGTCCCTAAGGTTTTACCGAACAAACTAAATTCTCTACAATGATCATAAGACAAGAGATCTACGCTTTGAAAAAGGTCACGGTTCAGTACACTATACACGAGAAAATGCAACCACGCACTAGAAAGTGACTAAGGTGAATCAGCGAGGTATTGCTCGCTAGGTCATATAAATGAGGGACATACTGTCAGAAAACAAGTAGTATCGATAATTGGCACATTTCAAGTAATATCGCCGTTTATATGTACGTAAAAATATTTTAGCTTAGCAGATGGTACAGACGGAGGAACTTGTCACTCACTATGTATTATGATTCATACGAGTAGTTTACTTTTAAAACAATAAACGCAATAATTGTGTTTGCAGGCTTCTTGAAGCTTTTTCGGGACACGCTGGCTTTACTTGCACATGCAAAAATTACCGCAGTGAAAACGGTATTGTGTACTTTACCTGTACATTTTCCGGTCTCCATGTAGTACACATAAATCTTCCTTCTCCACTGCCCACACCCAGTGTACACCATTACAGGATGTTGCCTTCCCCAGTAATCACGAAGAGATGTAAACCAGTACGTGTAACATGCATGGCCATTTGCGAGCCAATAATGGCAATCCTTTGGTTTTGGTACGGGCTTGACACCTGGAACTGAGGTACCAAAGTTGTAAGAATATCGCATGCATCGCTTGATTTGCTGGGTCTATCAAAAAGCTTTTCACATACAGAAATTTTTTAACCTTTTTTTATCACGGCTAAAAGTGTTACAAAGCAGGAGTCGTTAAAATCGTTACGAGAATAAGACAAGGTGTTTTTTCTTCATTCTTGATAGCTATTTGTATAATACAGTAGGAAGAGAAAAAAGTGAAAACAGGCAAGCCAAGGTCATGAAGTTTACGTCAAAAGAACGTACAATTAAAACGCACGCCATTATGAATGAAAAATAACTGGTGTTATACCCCAAAATGTCCGAATCAGCTGAATGAAAATATAGGCTTCATCTGGTGAGCCCATTAGCAAAACGACTCTTCTGTTTATAGCGCAAACAGCACCATCTGCTGACTAATCGGCTGCATTGGTTTTCTTGCTGCGACAGCACGCATCCTATATAATGAAATTTACCTTCTCTAGATTTGAACTCGAGAAAGTCAAATGGACGCATATAAACTCACTGTGCTTACCTGGGGGGCATGAAGCTTCGCAGAGGTCTTTCGTCACAAAGTTATTTTGGTTTTCACGGCAGACGTAATTTCGTTTACACTCGTTTAACTCCGACGAGAAGCTCCATCGCAAAAGAACTATGGTGCAGTTTTCAACATCAGGTACCAGGCTACAGGCCGGGTTCCTTGAAGCAGTGGCTAAATAGGTAAAAAAAAAAGTTTTGCGCAAGTTAGAGAAGCAGTGATCACTTTACGTATTCCTGCAGCTGATGACAAGGCATAGTTCGGCCCTGAAAAATAGGCTGAATAGTGTTTCAGGATTGCATTGCTTAAAAACCCTTTCAAAAATTTGAGGTACAATACCAGCCTACATTTCTGTATTTTTTCAACAACAGTGTCCTTGCTTATAGCGTTAATTAGTGAACTAAAGCCATGATTCGCATGGGCTACCATTTTACGAGCTCGAAAGTTGGAGGAGGAGCCCATAAATTTAACTAAATTCTGGTAAGGTTCTGCTTTTTCTACGAATTGCTGGTTTGGTACTGGCAAATTGTTCCTGGTGTTGCCATTCATTCGGCAAGTTTGTTTGATTTGAAGTGCATTTGGATCGGCCTATGTGGGCATAACAGCAAAACAACATTGTCTTCATGCAGCCTAAATTCAATAATATCATCTTATATAGATATAAACCAGAGAATGGGGATGGCATATTGCCACTGTAAATTGAAAACACTGTGGTAGTGAGCTTCAAAGTGTAGTACGCTTGTCATCTGCTTTAAATTGTGTCACTCTAAGTTTATTCAAAATAAACGAGCTTTTTATTCAAAGCAGTGCACAGGGATTTCACTTTAGCACTGCAACAATTGGAAAACATTTTGAAACGAACACAAAGTCAAGTAAGACTTGTATATTTAGGACAAAAGAAAGTCATACATTAACAGACAAGCTCCATAATAATACATGGAGCTCATTCATGGCTCACACTTCTGCTACGTTCAGCTTATTTCTACAGTGCCTCGACTATGATTGCAACGTTGCGCTGTCACTTACCAGTCACAGCTAGAGGAATACTACATACGCCACGATAGTGGAAATATCAGAGCTTTCTTTCTATAGCAAACAAGGCACGCTAATTCTGACGTGACGCCAAAAAAAGGAAACATAAGATAGCCACGTAACGAGAACACCACAAGGGTCCAGTAAAGTCCTCGAGCCGACGATGACGACTACGAGGGTTATCAACAGGAATGTGTCTATTCGGAAAAGCCAACCAAAGTTGCTCAAGGTGCTTCATTTACCAAATTTCATGGGCCCTTCTAGAGGTCAAGTGATAAGGAAGGATGTCAACGTGCTTGATCATAAACATCAAGAAGATGAGCCGCGCAATCCACTGAAGAATAAGAGGAAGGGAGGAAAGGCACAAAAGTGCTCCAGAAAAGCGTTCTATTAGCTTTGCTACGCTGGGGGAAGGAGATTAAGAGATAGAGAGATAGAAAAAAAAGGGAGCATACTAAAAGTGAGCTTAAACGACGCTGCTTCGTTTACTAGTAGTGGGCGGCGAACTTCGGGCGTATCAAGCTCCTTGGTAGGAACGTGAACTTGGCCGTTGCGCCTACGGCACGGGACATAGAACATCTAATAGCCATTACACAGACTCAGCGTGTGGTAACTTCAGCCTCCCGATTATCACACGAAGTGTGTCTGAAAAATGAAGTACAATGAGCATTGATTTGTCTTCTTCTGGAAACTCGCCCAAAATAGAGACTTCACTGTGGGCGGTGAACCCACACGTCACTACGGCTTCAACGGAGGCCATTAGCGTCAGTTGTGTTTCTGCCTTCCATGGTATTCGGGTTTGTACCAGCCGTCACTGGTCAGTGTCGATGCGGTTTGGGCAATGTTTGCCGAGTGGAATCTCTAGCAACAATGCCTTTCATTTCATTCTTTTTCATACCAGCCATGTAGAGTCCGTATGTAAAAGGAGGGGTTGAAGCAACGCGTTCAAAAGGTGCTTGGGATGCAGAGGCACTTCTTGTTTCCTTTTGCGAACAACTGTGCCGACGGCACCGCTTTCCGATGGTCGCTGTGGCCTCACGATGTGTTGTATGGTCTTTCTCCGGTTGTGTTAACACAGCTATTTTTTTTACTTTCGGGCAGTCTTGAGGAAGCTTCGTGGGGTTCATTGCCATTCGAATGTTTCAAAACATTTGTTTAGAAACTGATACGGAATGCCTTTTAGCACAGCAAGAATATACTCACTTGTTTTCTCATACAATTTTCACGTGACCGAGAGAGAGAGAGGGAGAATGAGAAAAAACTTTGTTTATCTCATCCTAAGGGAAAAGGGGTGTGAGAAGGCTAAAGATAGTACTCGCGGTACGGCTCCTTCACTTCACCTCTATCTCAGCCCACCTCAGAAAAGCCTGCTGAGGTTCAAAGGCGGACGAGTGAACCACTCACAGCTCCTCATTTCTTGATTGATTAAAAAGGCTTAGGAGAGGGAAGTGATTCTCACACTGCCTCATATTGTGGTTCAACACCATGTTCAAACAGCAATATAGTTGCAGTCCCAAATACGTGCATTCCATGATTATGGGTTGTGGCACAAGACAGGAGAAGAAAAACTCCAAATTCGTACTGTTAGTCATAGAACCTTACGTCTTCTGGAGGACTGACGAAGTAGAATTAGTAGGGTTCGCCGGCAGAGGAGATAGTTCCCTCACTATCTCGTCGTGTGTGCTTAATTTTCCTTCATATGTAAATGCAGGAGGAAGATTATTGGTTTTTGAAGCATCTCCTCGGCTAGCTGGCATTCGTATCGTTACAGCTCGAGTGCTTCTGTGGGCCTCTTCATTGCAAAACTGCGATTCGGCCTAGTTGGAATCTATCCATCCTGAAAATGTATGCGCAGGCGAACAAGGACAAAGAAAGGAATACAAACTTGCGCCAGTTTGTATTCCTTTCTTTACCTCTTCATTGCGTAGGCTTGCGTGAGCAGATGAACAAATTAACACTACAAGTTGGCATGGCGGAATCATACGCAAGAGAAAAACTAAGACTGTTCAGTAAACACATCCCGTTATGATGTATATGGACTTCATGCAATAAGGACAATGCAGCGGCTTCGGCACAAAAAGTCTTACAGGACATGGACAGTTGATAAATTCACAAATGAAGGTGGAGTAGTCTCTAAAATATATTTTCAGCACTGTGAGGTATCCAAATGAGCAGCCCTAGCGAATATGCTACCTTAATCAGCTGGCGAGACCAGGTTACCCAAGTAACATTGAGAATGGTAACGTCAATAACGTAGACGGCACCAGTGGTGACGTTGGAGCTTACCAGAACCTACGTGTGGACGTGAATTCTATCCAGCTCTGTCACATTGCGTACTATGTTCAGTGCATGTCAAACATCAACCGCCAGGAGAATATTACTTGAGTACACTCTGATGTAGACGATTTCATGTGACATCAGTATCTCGAGCAGCACTAAAAGAGGATGTCTGTTGAGACGCTTCATGTTGCCGTTGGTGTCGGCTGGAACAAAATGATAGTTTTGGCTGATGGCCTTCGTGAGGTTCGTTCATACGGTCTGTTTGGACAAGAAGACGTCGTGGAATTACGTCTTTTGGCATTTCGGCTCATTGCAAGTTGGTAATCATTGTGAGATGGACCCTCGTCTTTCAGTGAGTAGACATCCGTGTCCTTGCTGTCGCAGCAAGGGCCCATACGCTTTCTGGATATGGCCGCCGCTGACGCCGCAAGAGCTGGTAGATATCTGAACTTATACAGTATATGCTGACAAATGCCGCAATAGACTTCGTCAGGTGCATGAGTAATTGAGAAAACAAGGCAAGAGATAGCCGAACAGCATACCGCTAGGAAGGTACTTTATCCATGAGTCCAAATACAGGTGAGTGATTAGTCTGGCTGGGTAAAACATTACACGTATAAACAGACTTCACAGTCACGTTTAGCCTATGCTCTTTAATATTGCATTTAAACTGACCCAATGCTTCTAGCCCAAATCGGTTTCTTTTTCAAGGGCGATTGTCCGGCCGGCATCAATGCTTGCGACTTGCTTCAATTTGAGAATCAGCCCTGGCCAGACAGTCACTCTATGAAGACGAGACAAAATAGGTCTCGAAACGTTGGGCCAGTTTTGTCATGTAAGCTGAACGGGCCGAGTTCATGCAGTTTTGCGTGGCCTATCGCAAGCAGTGCTTCGAATACCCGAGGAGCAGTCCACGCTTCACGGGGCACAGCTGGAACGCTTCATGAGACCTGGAAGATATTGGAGTGACTTGTAACGAGTGGGTGGGCACATGACTCGCGTGAGCTCGTTTGCTAGTCCGTCCCTCTATATCTCAGATCCGTCTGTTCGTGCGACCATCCGTCCATCCGTCTATATGTCCATGCAAGTGTCCATCCATCTGTCTGTCTGTCAGTTCGTCCGTCGCTCACTCTGCGTATATCCTGGCATAGCTGAGTAAAGTCCCTGCTAATCGGTTTCTTTTCAATTTCAATTATAAAACGTATAGACTAAACGTGGCTCGATAGTTTACTTGTTCCAGTAGTCTAATATTGTTTTGATAGGCAGTACGACTGGATTAGAAAATCAATGCGAACTGTATTGAAGCTCACCAGCTCGGGGTATACCAACGACGTTAATATGAACACTTCAACTCATTCAAAAGTACGTATCTTACTCACCACTGCTGTGCTTCCAGACGCTGATATAAGCGGCAAGAAAACTCAGTGTTACAAATGTTCTATTCATTTTGAGTATACGCTTTATGTATGTGCTCTTCGGTCCAGATGAGGTTACGTACGGCTAGTGTTAATAATATCAGACAAACACCCCACCACGTCCGTGTTCAATGTGTACATTGGAATATAAAGGAAATATTGTGAGCTAGTTGTATCTATATAGCTGACGTATTTTCGTGGAAGAGTCTATTGTCCAGAAGGTGGTTGCTACCGCCGGTAACAGACGTCATACCATAGTGTCATGAATGTTCTAGAAGCAAGAGAACGGTGCGCAAAGTGAAGGCTATGTATGATGTATTGTGAACGCCTTATGTTCTGAGCGGGAGGAACGTGGCCACAGCTGCTTCTCGCACGCATGAACTTGCTGTAAACATGAGTGCATTGATTGCGGTCACTCCACAGCACTTTCGTGTTAATACAGAAGCACTTCAAGACCTTTGTGAAATATGTGACAAAAGAACTTTAAAATTTTTAGCAATTCGATGTTTCTCGGCCTTTGGTTTGAATGCTCATTTTTCATATTAGTAACGTGTGCTTGCAATAGGGACACAGTTCTGGAATCTTCGGGTAGTAAAAACAGAACACACTATTTTTAGAAGACCCTCATGCAGAGCACTACTTGAGAAGCACGAAAAGCAGTAAAAACAATCGAAGTATGGCCTGCCAAGCTAATTGCGTTGCTCTATTTTTGCTCGGCTTTTTTTGTGCTAGCAATTCAAGCCGCCAACGGGCCAATTTCCTCCGGATGCTTGGGTATTAAGCATCCATTTCTAACACTCCTCCCGGCAAGGCTTGCAGTGAGCTCAGATATTGCATTCAAGGCATAGTCCTCCGAACCTGCATGAGTATGGTAAAAGACTCTATGACTGGGCACGTTGGTACGACATGATTATGAGTTCAAATAAGCGGTGTTGGAGCAGTGTCTGACTGTGTTTACGCGAAGGTTTTCCAAAAACACAAATTTTTTGAAAATTCAGCAATCTGTGTTTGCTATTTCATCCCTTCTGTCGGTTACGCTCATTTTCACTTATCAACTACCCAATTGTTCAATTTTTCGTTTTTTAAGTGAAGATCGTTTAAGGGTTCAGGCTGTTGTAGTCTGGTCCTACGTGTCGTGGCTTTGCGCAACACTCAATGCGAAGGAGCCAGCATAGCATACTCGTATGTGGTGTAACATATCAAGAGAATTTAAAAAGTGGTGTGGAAGAGAGAGAGCAAGCGAAGCTAGCAAAGCTATATATAATACATTATAGTAAATAGTGAGAAAGGGAAGCAATGGAGATAAGAATTGAAAGCAGAAAAAGGGCAGGTTAGACTATACAATACCTATGCACGAAATAGCATAACAAGGAGATAGGAAACGGAAGTAGAATAGATATGTGAGTTCTAACGTCCCAGAACTACCATATGAATATAACAACGCCGTGGTGGAGGCTCCGTCAATTTGACCACCAGGGGTTTTTTAACGTACACCCAAATCTGAGAACACTGTCCTAAAGTGTTTTCGCCTTCACAGAAAAAGGAGCTGCCACAGCCGAGATTTGATCCCGCGATCTGCGGGTCAGCAGCCTAGTACCTTAACCACTCGACCACCATGGCGGGACTTAGCGGAAGTAGAAAAAATAGGAAGAGGATGAGAAGCGGTATAGGAAGCAAAATTACAGCACTGCATCCAAAATAATGGTTTCTGTTCCTGTGTACAACGGCAGCGTGCGTTTGCTCATGAGTTTCAGCAACGCCAAAAGCACCGGCGAATCACCGTTCAGCCCTTCCAGCAGCTTTCACGTTGAGTGGCACTTCCCACAAGTTTTTATTGATTATGACTGCATAAAGAAGGGTAGCGAGTGAAAACACAGAACTTCTTTCTTTCTTATTTACAATATTTTCCCTGTATTTTTGGCCAATGGGGTCATATTGTTACCCAGTGTCAACAGTCCAAACACTAACATATTCAAGCACACGAAGAAAGAAAGCAATAAGATGACAATGAAAATAAGTTTCCTATCCTGAGCAGTTAAACAGGGGTGGAAGGTCTGATGGTAATTCAAGGTGTTTTACGTGCCAAAATCACCATCTTTTCACCGTATACTATGACAAAAACTACGCAACGTTAAAAGTTTGGATGAAGTGATATGTTGAGTAACCAGTAACAAAAGGAACACTGAAAGTGCTGCGTTTCTCATCAGTCGTGACATTCGCCAGCTTCTATACATGCTTCTCAATACAACGTAGTGCTTTCGCTGACGATAGCATGCAATCGGGGATGTACTCAACCACATGCGTCGTGCCAGCAATGCATGCTGAATTGTCGGCGCCATTCACGAAACACATCCATGTTGAAGTGCTGCCTGCCGACAGCAATACAGCATGTTACAAGTAAAAATTGTTGAGGCGTTACGTACAGACAAGGTTGGTTGGTTGGTGTTCCTTAGAGTCCTGGTGCAACCCTCCTTGGCGGATCAGCGAATGGTTCGTATTTTTGAGGTGAAATAATTTCATACGGACAACAAAAGAAGGCGACACACGCAGTGCTTTCCTTTGATCTTTCTTTTGTCCATGTGTTCAGTCCGCACAGCTAGCAAGCCTTTAAAGAGACCTTGCAACACCTTTTGAGCATGGTCAGAAAACGCTGCTGGTCGGTAGTAGAGGCTCCCGACAACAAGCGAGCCAAGTACTATAGCGCAGCACGCGGCCTGACATTCACAATAAAATATCCAAGTCAGCTAAAGAAATGCTTTCTCTTCTCTTCACAAGTGACAGATTATACCCAGAAATCAGACGCAGCAAGCTCATATATCAGCCATTGGCTCATTTGAACATGTCACGCTCACTCGTTACAGTGATCGTCGTGGGAGACCGTTACTTGTCCACGCGTGCGCGCGATCGTACTGAAAATGCCGAGCATTCGAAGAAAAAAAAAAAGAAAAAGTGCTCAAGTTCACAAAGCCTGCGGGACGTTTTTCTATGGCCCTGCCATATCCTTTGGCTTAGCTTCCAGCGCTTTCGTAACTTAAAACTGACATATGGCCTAATGAGCAAACGTTGAAACCAGAAGATCCAAACCAATACAAAAACTATCAACTATCGTGAGCAGGACACGTCGCACTTGACTCAATCACGTTTGTTATGACGCCCGCATAGTTTTTTACTGAACTTGAGTACCAAATGAGATAGAAGTTCAGAGTCACTGAGAAGCTTAAAGCATTTAGAAGTTTTGCGAGAAAGAATTTCGCTGGAAACAGTGTTTCAGCAAGTCGACTTGTCTTTGACAAGAAAAAAGTGTTACCATGACGAAAAAAAATTCACTTGTAAAAACGTTGGCTTCATCAGCATTCTCTCTAAAAATATTAGAAGTATTTAGTCTGTCACGTGTGCTTGATTGACACTATTAGAAGTAACGACTCAAGTTTTCAAACTGTGGCTGCAAAATTTAATGAGCAGGAAGCAGCCTATATTCACTTGAATTCATTTGAACTACATGCTGAAAGTAAAAGAAAGGAAAGCTACGTAGCCAAGCCAACTCGAATTCAAGCCTTCTAATAAACGCTTTTTCCCAACAGCAGCTTGGCTCCCGTTTTCACCAATTAGTAAAAAGATACTTCACTTCTGTCATTTCAGTCAGGCATGCAGAAAACTGAGTTTACTCAAATGTTATCACGCAAAAAACCGTACCTGCAAACGTTGGGTCGAAGTCCTTGTGCTCACCCATTGCCTTTACGAAACGCCTAAAACCATTGCGGAACCACTAATGCCCGGGTTAGCGCACCGCAGAGCCGCGAAAACATGTGTTGCCCGATTGAGCTATCTTCGACGAATGTATAGCTAACTTGTTGGACGTAGCCCACTGTGGCTTCCGTTCTCTGCCCACCACAACTTGCTTTCTTTATCTTCGCCGTAGATGACGCACTGACTGAGCTGAGATAACTGAGTTCGATCTACCTTTCTATTATCACTGAGCTAGTAGCGAGAAAGAAGCGGAGGCAGCGCTAAGAACTCTAGTCAATTGCTTGCCGCACTTCGCCTGAATTAAAATTTTAATAAAAGAATAAGATTTATTACATACAAACAAAAGAGAAGTAGTTTACAGGGGTATTACCTTTTCTTTCTTCTTAAAACTTGTGAAAGCCAATAAATACGAATATTCACATCAACTTCTCTCCGTTAAAAAAAGAATGCCCGGCAACCGCTTTGAGCATGCATGTTCCTTGTAACCGAAATTATAGCGATGAGTTTCTGGGGTATGGTTTAACTTCTGTGGTTATGCTGAAAAAGTATTTCCACAGCATATTTCTCATGTTTGACGTTACCGGCCCATAGCACCTCCTGATACTACCTTTCACCAGCACCTACAAAGTCAGAGGGCGTTCTCATTTTTTAGGACAATCAGATTCTCTTGAATGCGCAAGCGCGAACTGCTGACTTTACTCTCAAAACCACTCAGCTACCAGCAATAACGCTGAAATGTTTGGTGCAGCTTGTATTAGGGATGATGTACTTTGCCGCGGATCATATAGTCCAGGGCCGTCGCTCTGTTCGCCACTATTAGTAGACAGTGTATAGTGCTAGTTGTTATTCGTTTCGTTTTCACCGTGACAAGTTCAGCTAATTAAATACTCTTCAAGAAATCAAGAAAAAAATGCGCTAAAAAAGAAAAGACACCACAAAGAAAGAACATTTTGAAGTTTCAAAGCACTCAATACTTCTTTCTGGAACAATACGCAGACCTACGTAGCTGCATGGTTTGTGCATGCTGTTGATGATAAGTAATTATGGCTGAACCTCTTTGCAATGAGTGGGAAATTTTAAACTGTTAATCTGTTGCGTTGTTCATATGCTATATCATGTGGGGCAATTCTGGCTATCTACTTTGTATGGTGCATACGTAAATGTGACTTCTTGTCTCGCCTTGTGAAGTGCTCTTTCTTTGTGGTGCATTTCCTTTATTAGAGCATTTTATCCTCTATATAATGAATCAACCAACCCCTCAAGACGTCCTGATCAAATACTCTTCAATCCACCGGTCTGCCTTCTTCAGCGTCATCGCTCACAAAAATATGCAGAATGCCGATGATTCCGGCCGCACTTACTGCCAAGAAGGACTACTGTATTAGTG